CGGTGTGCCAGCGAGGGCGCTGGACTCCCTTGAGGGGGGGTGGATATAGTCCCACATCGGTTAGGAAGGAGAACGAAGCATGCCATATATATGGGTGTGGATACCTTCCTTGTGTAGACGCGTTTTGGGGTGGCATGCGTGCCATTGCCAAGAACAAATCCGTGAGGGCTGCGGCCAAAGCGGACAATATCTACATGCGGGTTGCTTGGGCTGTTACACAGCAGGGGACCAGTGAAATTTTTTTATGTTAATTCTCTTGATTTTTCTTAAAAGGACTAATTACACTTTAGGCCGGCACTTTATATTTATTCAAAGTCTGAGTTTAATCCTTTATCTTTTATTTTTAGTTTGGACCTTTTTAAGTCAATTGTGATGACTTTTGTCTGTGAAGAATTATTTTTTTAATAATTACAAACTATCTTAGTAAGTGGTTTTCATTTTTCATATTTAAGTATCAACAATATTAAATATTTAAAATGAAAGCTTTGTTATTACATCAGTCTTATTTTCGACTTGAGTACGATTGTTCTTAATAAATGATATATGTGTATTTCTATACATAAAAAAAGTCAATATCTTGATAAAAATTAAATTAATATAAGATGAAAAGATAAATAATGAAATTAAGAAGAGATATTAAATTTAAATTAATTTTAAATAAACATAAAATACAAAAAAAATAAAATAGTATAAATTTTGTTTTATTCATTCTTAAAAAAATTAAATCAATTTAATCACATATTTTGTCACTCATTTTAATGATTTTGTAAATTTTGTCACTCAACTATTTTATTTGCACATCTTTGCTGAACTTACATATTTCACACATTTTACTTGGATGTTAAAGCTCTATTAAACTTTGAATGATACATTGATATGTTCGGGAACCTAATTTTTTTTTCCTTTTACATAATTTTGTATATTTTGATACCCAACTTTTAATTTCACACATTTTTTCATAGACATAAACATGTCATTTAAAATTTGATAAACATATAATATCACCAAAAATGTGCAAAATTGTGCAAATTAACTAATGTGTAAATAAAATAATTAAGTAAAGTCTCACTAAAGTAATACTGTATTTTTTTTTATAGAACTATCTATTATAATTTAATAATATCCGATACAAACTCCATGTAATAATAAAAAAGTGAATTTTTATAGCATTAAGTGATCGATTTATATAGATTCTTATGATCACTGTGTCACTCATCAACACTATCATGATATAACACTATCATGATATAATATGACCGTAAAATTCCAAGTATATAATATAGTATATATGATATGGATATATTTTATATGTTGGGGTGAAATTATAGGTTAATGAAAATTAAACTTGATAGTTATCTATCATTTATTATTAGTGATAATTATTTTATAATAATAATTTAATTATTTTTATTTTATTATTTAATAAAATATCAATGATTAATAAATAATAATTATTAAAAATATATTTATATATCAAAACATATTATTAATAATAGTTATTTAACGATAATAAATTAATTATCTTTATTTTATTATTTAATAAAAATATTAATAACTAATAAATAATAATCACTAAAAATATATTTATAAGAGTAATTATTAAAAATGATTGATAAAAAAGTAAAAGTAGTTTTTAATTCATATTATTATGAAAAGCTTAAATCTCATATCGATTAATGATAAGACAATTAAATATTATATAAGTAAAAGGCAACACGTATTTTACAAGTTAATTTTATAAGATTAAGTTAGATTCATAACTTACTCTTTTAAGACGATATCAAATTACTCACTATTTATTCACGTATCAAATTCAACAACTCATCATTTTACAAGTTTTTATTAATTAGAGATATAACAATTAAAAAATATATAATCTAGAAATCCTTTCTTAAATTTTTAAGAACAATAATAAAAAATGTTAAATACTAGTAAAAAAATGTCATAAAAAAAGACTTTTATTAATATGCTAAATAATTGTCTATAAATATTTTATTGATACTTCATACAGCTAATGTATAAATGCTGTTAAAATATTATGTAATAATTTTTATTTTCATTAAAATAATGCTAAATATCATTAAAAATATGTTTCGATTAATTTACATTGAGAAAAAAGTGAAAATTATTCCAGCTCAAGGAGGGTAAATAAAATTATGTGCGAGCAAGCCAAGGAAGAGAGTAACTGATATAACATTAGAACCTTTTGCTTACAGCTTCATTGTCGGTTAGGTTTAGGAATTGAACCCGATTTGTAGTGTAAGTGATGAGGTAAATAGAGAATGACTTGGCTCTACCTTTTAATGACGAAAATCTTGAGGCATGTGAAGCCAAACTGCTACTTGACATCTTTGCCATTATTAGGTGTAGACCCTGTGGTCCAAAGGCTTCAACATAGGAAAATCATGTATTTATAAACATTTAACTGAGAGGGAAAGAGAAGTAAGAAATATAAATATGATAAATAATGTTACGTGATAGAAAAACAAAATTATAGGTGTTATTATATTAATTAGAGTAGTAAAAATGGCTTGAATGAAGTAGGCCGATTTAAACTCCCAAAAATTTGTTTTAAAGAAAATTGTGTTAATTTGGTCATTTGATTGGCCAAACATATTAGAATAAGATAGCTATCTTACAAATTTATTAGATTTATTTGGTCCAATATTTTTTGT